TACTACAACAAAGATTTTATTATTTTTCTGACGGATTCCAAGAATATCCTGTATACTATTATACATTTAGTATGTAAAAAAATACCAATGCACCCACAGAAATAAATTGGGTGCACTGCTCCAGTTTTGTGTGCACTAAGGTGCACATGCACCCAGTATTTCGAGCCCTGAGTACTAGTACAACATGTATTTTTTTTAATGACTCGCACATTTCAAGATAACATTTAGGAGAAAAAGCTTTGAACTGTCAGAACAGTAAACAAATTTGACATCTGCGGCTTTCAAAAATTCAATAAACAAATTTCCATGTAGGTGCGCCATGGCTGACACAACCATTTTGGATTACAAATTATAACCTTTTTACTTAGTAGAAGCATGCAAGTCAGTGAGCAACTACAGACCCGAATTCAAACTTTTGAACCCTTTAATCTAGTATAAAACGGGGTCGCTGCAAACCAGTCAATCAGATAAAACAGCGTTCTAGGCAGTCAGAAATTTTTCTCCGTCATCTCAATTTTGTTTGACGGAGCAACATGTCGAGCACCGAAGATAGTCTGCGGGCATGCTCTCGCTGAAAAATTTTGAAACCTTAATAATATTTCTTGCATTTTGAGGGGCAAATTTTGCTGGTAGACTTAACTTACTTTAATGACATCTCTTTCTATATCTTTACACGCTGATTTTTGTCTACTAAAGATGATGGATTGGGCAAAATTTTTGTGCGTCATGAGCTATGAAATTCTGTCAAATGACACTAGCTAGAACACTGGGAATATTATATAAAAAACCATTATATATAAAACCATTGTTGAATATTTTTATTAAAATTTGCACTAGTTATGTGTGACAATATAATTACAGTGCTAGAAGGTAGCACACAGACCTACAAAAGAAGGATCTAGAAGAAGCCCTGTAATTACTGATACCATTGTTGTTGTTTGTCCATCATTTTTTCAGCGACAACAATGACATCCCTAATCCCTAACATCACATGACTGGTAACAGAACAGGTTTTGCAACACATGTATAATACCTGAGGTACATTGTATTGTCAACCTATCTTACTAGCCAGGTCAGAAAGTCAGATCAAATGTACTTTGATATAACACACATCATGAGACAATATTAATTGGGCTAAGCCTTCAGAAATTCATTCAAACTCCTATGTTTTTGTGACCTAAAAAGACAACGTCTAGTTGAAAAACATAGCCTTGAATCTTGATTTGCAGCTGAGTTAAATTAGTTGTCAGCACATAATTTTAAACATATGCCTCAAATTGCATGATGCCAAGATTTTATAATAGTTATGAAATACCAATGAGGCATGCCTTGTCGAGAAGTTGGCTGGAAAATCATATTTCAAACTTAATCACCATATTATCAATCTTGTAATACATGTAAAATACTGCACAACTTCCACTCAATAGCACATTATGTAAGAGTTATCTACGAGGTTTCGGTTTCCATGCTAAAATGACTATGATCTCTATGAACTATAACATATTAAGTATAAATCACTAGATAAGCTTCCCAGATAAAACAATATATTCTCAGCAGATTGGCAAAGGAAAGGCAGGATGGCAATATTTAAACCTTACTCTTGGGTATCCACTCAACAAATAACCAAATAAGGAGTTATCAGACAAAATTTTTTTCAGTCTTCCAGCCTAACTTTTTATGGCTTAGGCCACACCAATTTCATTTCTTGGCAAACAAATTCGCCCACTTCATTTTTTTTCTGATTTGCAAAAAAAAATAGAATCAACTGCAAAATGCTCATATTTTGCCCTGAAGAGTTGAAAACAGCCCTTTTAAATTTCTTCCTAGTTGTTACAGTTATTCCATCTATCAATGCAGTGGTATCTTCAAAAGTTTAAAATTCATTGTTAAATTTTGAACCAGCCTTTTGTGTTGACTTCATGGCTCCTATCCTACCATTTGGGGCCATAATAGGATGCCTAGGCCTGTTTTTATTTTTATTTTTTATTTTTTGCCTGCCTGCTCCATAATTTTTCTAGAAAAATCCGTTAACCAAGAAATTAAATTTACACTATGAACACTATATAACAGTGATAGGCTCATGTAAGCAACCATTTAAACTTATGTTAATAAGAGTGCCCTATACCTTAAAACTGAAAAAAAAACAGGTCTAAAATTTCTTCCTTTGTAACCCCTTGACCATAGCCACCAGGCATTTTCTAGGAAAAACACAGGATCCACAAAGACCTTCTCCGGAAAAGTGATTACGGAGGGGTTGAAGGTCTTTTAAAAATACCAGAGTTAATTAGCAACTGACCCAGCAACCATCTGTTTTGACTAAGGTCTAAAGGCATCAAAGGCCCTAAACCAGCACTGGTCATTTCTCAACGTACAACTTAAAGGCATCCATTTGCAATTTTGGGGCAACAAAACAGGACTTTCAAAGTCAAATTTCTGGTCATGGTTTAAATAGTAAGTTGAATTAACCCTATCCCACAGTATACAGACCAGTACCTGTGAGGCAAAGATGCAATGTCGCTGACAGAAAACGGTTGTTTGTTTTCTATCGTAGGCTGGTTCTAGATATTATGGCCGGTGCCCATAAAATTGGCGCCTCACGTAGCTTGTTTTGGGGCTACTTCAGCCACTTCAAGTAGGAAATAACGATGAAAACATGCTAATAAATGGCACTAAATGTCAATACCAGACAGATTTCCTCAGCTAGAATGTAATTTGTTTTGCTATCGTAAAATTCGCCCTGGATGTCTTTAAAGCTTTGTATAATTGATATGTTTTTCAAAATATCTCTCTACCATAAGATCTTCATTATTTATACAAGTTTGACCCCTACACCTATATCAAGAGAAAATTAATAAAGGTACCGCTTGGCCCTCCCTAAGCAATTTTCTACAAACACGCCTATTTTATTCATCATATCTGTCACTGTCATGTAAATCTAGTGTGAAATTGGGTGTCGGAAAAATTTGCATTCAAATTCATCGGAGTTATGGAATTGATTGGAAAAAAAGGAATCAGTGACAAACAGAAGGGGATAGAAAACTGTCATATCATTCTATTTGGGTCAGTGAATTACTTTTTGCCCAGCAGAGTAATATGCATATTATTATAAGTAAAACATTAGAACTAACACCGTCCTTTCAATTAAAGACACATTCCTACTTTTAAATGTCATTTAGCCATCAAGGGACAGCTAAAACTGTTCAAACTTTTGGGAAAATTGACATTTTTAACCAGTTTTAGTATTTAAAAGCCATTTTCAAACAGGTTATACTATCATGTACTAGGGACAGACACAGTACAAGGAAATTTCACCTATTCTTGCGTACTAAAATTTACTTAAGTGTATAACTGACATTGAATGTTATACTCTTTTCTTTCTGCTAACATATCTTCCCAATTTGCCTTCTGGCTATCACATGGTGTTTTCTGATGACATGCATGCTGTGCAACAAAAGCCGAAATTCCAACTTTTGAGCCGCTGGGCCTAGAAACACTGGGTAGACATCTAAACCACTGGTCCATGCAACCTACTTAGTATACGGTTAAGTAATTACATAACTTTCGGATGACAACCAGGATACCTTTACCACAAGATATTCTGTATACATATTTTCAGTAACATATTGGTGTGAGATATATATTATCTGAGCTGTTGTCATTATGATATTCAGATGTAATACTCCAAGTCTGCCAGTATCATCTTTAGTTACCTCAACTATAGAATAACACATGCAATTATCACTTATGGTAAATTGAAAGATGGCAATACCAAAAAATGGTGAAGTACAATTTTCAAACATAAATTCTGCACAAAATGCTCAAGACCAAAAGACTGAGTGACCCGCTTTTTGCTCGCGGCTTTAAAAAATCTACCTCCACTCCCCATTTTCTTCATTCTTAATCTCGGTAGCATTCAAAACTACACAAATCAGAAAAAAATGGTTAAAATAATACCAGGTTTCAATAACCAGGGAAGCAATTAGCAAAAGGCAACTAATCCAGCTTAAAACTTCTTAGCAAATTAAAGAAAGATTAAGCCCACAGATAAGCTTATGATGTGGTAAACATAAAATCCCCTATGGGGGGCCCTTAGCTATTGTAATAGTACTATACACTGTAGTTTTTTCCTCAGACTGACACAGATACGTGCTAAGACGGTAGCAGGTTGTGTTTGTGGTTGAAGGAGGAACAATTTACGGTAGTTTGTGTCTCTTAAACCGCTAAACGTCCGTGTGTTTTCCGCTGGCACACCCACAAATCGCCCAAGGTCACCAGACCCCCAAACAACCACCGCCATGCAGCTACTGTTTACTTAGCACCCGATGTCTAAACAATCCTCTCTTTCCTTCTACTCAGGATTAACCATAGCTAAAATAGCGTGTACCGTCTAGACGACATCGTATACCCTTAAACAAACAACAACAAAAACAACAACAACGTCGAGCTTCCAGATTTTTTTTTCTGAGGTGAAATAATTATGTTAGCTCAGATCGTCTTACAACCACTGCAATTATGCATTAGGGAAAAGGCGTACGATTTTCCCAGTGTAGTTTTTTTTGCACGAGCTGGTCGTAAGAATGTTGCTTAAGAGTCTTATCTAACATGTAAGTAGGGCGCCTGGTGGAAAAGGAGTATGCAATGCGAGTTGTTGACAGACAACTTACCGATGTTAGTGCTCCGAGCACACAATAAATCGGGTTAAGCCGCAACCTTGTGCATAATCCTTACCATACTTTACCTCAAATCGAAGAAGAATAAGTCTACACCATTTTCTGAGACGATCGGAAGCAGTTACGTGAGATTTTGTGAGGGAATTTTGAGGAGTTGATCTCGTTTTCAACGTGGCCGTGACCATGTTGTCGTCTGAAAATTTCTCCGACAGGGTCCAAAAGTAGGTCACTTCAGAAAACGGCGCTAATTTTGCACGACACGCGCAGTTTTTACCTCAGATTATCGAAATTGGACGATAAGATGAAGATTTTGTGAAACGAGGGACTTACCTTGTGGGAGGAAATGTAGAAAGGGGCGTTCCTTCGGTGGTAAACAGGTGAGAACAAAACTCTCAGGTCGCTCCTTCTTCTTCAGCCATTTTTCTCCACCGCACCCAAACGCAACCAAATGGACTCAACCTCCCCAACAACTGGTTACGAAAATTAAACCAGGCCCCAAAAATAATTTACAAATAGATAGTTATATTATTTTTAACTCAATAATTTTTTGAGGAAGAAATTGGCTCGTGGTGTATTTATCTTGTAAGTATTTGCTGTCTTGAGGTCTTGCTGCGGTCTACCACTGGAGGTCTGGCTTTGGTTCCCTGGGGACGTTGCGCAATGGCCCGTTCTATATTGCATTTTGGGGGTGTATAATTTATGATTTCCTTTAATTCTAGCTGCATTTGGCAGACATGTGACTACAAATATATATATTGCAAATAAATATTTATCAAAAGAGATTCCAATCAATAAAAGTGCTTTTAAGTGACCATAACTAGATATAAAAATATCTCATTTCAAGGTCAAATGGTCTGGTCTCCCTCTTTTTGAGCCCGTTCTGGTCTCGACCGATGGACGTCATGGCAAAGTCGTGTCCTCACATTTCTGAGGGCCAGGCTGCCCTAGATAAATTATCGATCTGCCACGCCACACGTTTTACACTACCGGCCTTACACGTACAAATCATTTCCGAACATCCTTTAAGTGTGGTAACGCTGGTAATGATGCCAAAATCTCGGCACAGTTACTAGATTCACTCATTCAAGTCAAAAGATGCTCTTCCAGCTGAAAAGACTTTGATTTTTGAATGAGGTTATGCTAAACCCCCTTGAGAAAAAATAGCTTAAAATATACATCTTCACGCAAACCTGAGCTGCTATATAAAGTTTTGTTTGGTAAAGGAAAAAGGAAAAGTATCATAGCTAGATGTTTCCCCGGCCGCTAGCCCTCTATCCTCTGTTTTCCTTGCTAGTCAGAAAAAAAAGCAAATACAGCAATGCAATTTGTAGACAACACTTTAAGATTTAAAACTTTTTGTTCTCTTTTGGCCTTTCTCTCTCAGCCTCTCTCTTACTCTCTCTCTCTCTCTCTCTCTAAAATCTAGACTTCCTTTTCCAAATACTTTTTTTCACTTTTGGGGTAACGTTATATTCCAAGATACCATTGATTGTGTGGACCTTTGTAGTTCCTTTTTGCAAAATAAGAAGCTTGGAAATGCTTTCTATGTACTCTCCAAGCAGAGGTTTGGGTTTTGGGGTATTTTTAGCGTTGTTTTTAGGCTTTTTTATCGGGGTTTCTCTTTTGCACTGAATTTTTTTTCCACCAAACCCAACGTTGGG